AAGCCAGTTTCACAGCTCAGTGGTGGTGGTGGGAGTCTCTCCCACCTCCACGGCAATCGGACATCCCCTGAAGGCTCCTAGACTGCAAAAGGGTGCAAGCTGGGCTGAGGGATCCCCCCCACCCCATGAGTGCACGAATTTCATGCACTGGGTCTCTAGTCTAGTATAATATTTTAAATACTTTAAGGGCCCAACAAATGTGTTGGGTGCTATTTGCCTTTATTATTTTTAAAAGAAGCATTGGATAAATTGAGTATATAATAAGAATAGAAATGTTACATATTTTTTGTTTTGTAGAACAAAGCTTTATGACATTTCAGAGTAGGATTTCTAAAAGTATTTTTTTCTCAACTTTTCTCATCCTAGTACACTCTTTGTTTTTATAGCCAGTGTCCAGCAGACAACTAGCAACAAAAATTTAGTTCTCAGAAAGTGTTTGTTTGATTTGGCTTTATATTATTTCTCCTCCAAGAAAAAATAAGATTATGTGAAGAGTAGTTCATAAATCAAAGTAGAATATAAATGTAGGTGGTGGTAGTAATGATTTTTGGTTCTTAATTGCATTTAGTCTTGGCCATAACAGGCAGGAAAGGAAGATATGGAGCTTGGGCAAGAGCAGGACAGTTGGCTCACTCTCCCTCGTGATCTGGCCGGTGTGTTCTCTGAGCTTCCTGGACCTGATCCTTACTCCAATGGGAGTCCTGGTTGGCATGAAAAAATAGGCACTAAGGACAGTAGGGAATGGCTACAGGGCCATCTCTGAAGGGCTAAATAGGGAGGATATTAGCAGAAGAGGTAAACGCATGGAGAATAGAGACAATGCTAGTCCCTGGGGTTTAGAGAAATGGACATCTTTTCTCTAATGTGTTCCTGCCTGATATTGCAAATCAGAATGGGGACCACCTCAGAAAAAGCATGCAAAGATTATTCAACTAGGAATGTAGGAGACTAGATGTGTCAGGGAGCTCTATGGGGATGGGAGGCTTGGGGTGCGGTAAGTGAAAGAGAGGGGCTAATGGATAGCTTTCCATTCCCAAAGACTTGGAAGGTCTCTTTCTTTTGAAGTTAAGGGTTTTGCCTTTTGTTTATGGAGCTCTTGACTGGTGTAGAGAATTCAGGGTAGGGACCTTAGGAGAGGTAGGAGAAGCTCCTTTAGATTGACTTAGGGGAGGAGAGGCGAAGGAGGCCTTTCTCTGTCTTCCTAAATTATACCTAGAACTCAGATTTAAAATAGAATTTATGTTTCTGTTATTAAAGAACTGATTGCCGAAACCGGTTTGGCTCAGTGGATAGAGTGTCGGCCTGCGGACTGAAAGGTCCCAGGTTCGATTCCAGTCAAGGGCATGTACCTGGGTTGCGGGCGCATCCCCAGTGGGGGATGCGCAGGAGGCGGATCTGATATGCAGGATGTATTTTCATTGTTACAAATTGAACATAATTAAAAGCATAGTCATTAATCACAAAACAATATGTAATTGTATATGTGTTTTCCGATGGTCTTAGACGACCCCTGTGAAAGGGTCATTCGACCCCCAAAGGGATCGTGACCCACAGGTTGAGAACCGCTGCTCTAGGAGGATATTGGAGAGTGAGGAACCACAAGCAATCCCAAATAACAGTTAAGAATTCTGATCTCTAATTTCTGTGATTAAGTTTGATACCTACTAATATTACCACCACCACCACCAAACATTTATTGAGCACTCAGGGTATAGATCATCACTTTTAATGTTTATGCCACCACAAGGTAGGTAATATTATTATCCTGACTGAGGATAGTGTAGTTGGGTTTTGAATTGATGATAAGTAGTTCTCAATATCACAGAACTGTCACATGGATTTGAAAAAAGTGGTCTGGCTCTTAGGTATACATACCACCCTTTTATGGCCAACCAGGAAAATCAGATGTTCTAAAATGAATCTCCTGTTCAATATTCCTTGGTATTGCAACTCACACTTGAGATTGCTCTGCTTTGGGAAATAATTTCCTATTTGTCTTTTTCATTATGTGTTTTCCATTTAATTTAATTTCATTCTTGCTCTAAAACATTGAGTCTTCAACCTGGTGAGGCAGGTAGGTATGATACCAATTTTGCAAATGAGGACCTGAGGATCACAGGTCATCATGTAAAACTTTCACGTAAGGACATACACCTAGTAAGTAGCAGGGCCAGGACATAAATCAAAGTCTTTTGATCCAAAGTCCAAGTTTATTCTAGTTGGCTTTTATTTTAGTCCTGGGCTAACGCATTTGATCTTCCAGGAATTGTGACCCCCTTTAACACTTTAATAATTGACATTTTTGTAAAAACAACAACAAACACAACCAACAATAAGGTCAATAAATGTATCTTTCTTTATCTATCTACATCACTCTATTGAATTATTGAGTTATCTACTAACCAACTATGTATCTTTCTATCCCAGGATTTTTCAACCTTAGCACTACTATTGACACTTGGACCTGGGTAATTCTTTGTTGTGTGTGGGTGTATGTACTGTACATTGTAGAATGTTTAGCAGCTTTCCTGGTCTCCATCATTAGATACCAGTAGCACCCTCCCCAGCTTCCCCAATTGTGACTACTAAAAATGTCTCAGACATTGCCATATCTCTCCTGGGGATTGGGGGCAAAGATCTCATTCAGTGGAGAACCACTGCTGCATCTCTTAATTGCTTAACCAAATAAACAGAATAACTTAGATTCATTTTTTATTTGAGGAATCATGACTGAGAAGGTAAACGGAACTCATTTAGAGTCCTCATCACAAAGGCTTTTTAGTGGAGTTAGTAGGGTTTTATTGTTTACGAAAAATGACTAAGACTCATCAGTGGGTACTTCTAAAGATGAAGGAATATTGGCACTCATAAACCAGAGGCTTCTTGCCAATTTCCATAGGTAGTTTGATCTAGAGTTTCAGCTAGCTAGAATGACCTTGTAAAAACTGTGTACTTTCCGGGGAAGGCTTTAAGTCCAGAATCTAGAAGACTTCCATTCACCTGCTTATAATGACTCTTGTTTATCTGAAACATCTACTGGGTTCCATCTGATATTATTTTTATTATATCCTAACCTTTGCATTATGCAAAATCCACATAGCACTTAGTGTGTATTAATAAGTGTTTATTGATATGCATGCTGTAATATATTCTTATGTAGTTAAAATATTTTGTGTCTATACTTCACAGATAATCTATAAAATCTTCTTAGTGGTAGAGACAGTTTCTTTTTGTTAAACTCCCAACCATGCCCAGAGCAGTGCTGTGAAAATCCACTGTAAAAATTGTCATTGCAAGGAGACCAAGCAATGACTTCATACTCAATGTTCTTTTCATGTCCCTTTGGTTGGAGCAAGTAAGGATACAATCAGATATTGTATCCAATGAGGTGTACTGATTTAGTTTAATTACCTGTGTTGACAAATATCCGTTTCATTTATTTAATCATTTATTAAACAATTTAAGGACTTCCTTGTGAAAGCTGGTAGAAGTACCATGTTGAGTAGAACATGTTATGTCCATCACATTGGTCAAATATTAGGTAGTAAGTCATAGTCATGATTAAGTAGGTTCCCATGGATCCCAGATAAGGGTCTCACAAAAGGCTTCTTGGAAGAGGTTGTGTCTACGCTAGGTAATGAAAGATGGGTAGATTCAACATGGTAATGAATCAGATGAAAGCTGTTCTAGGCAGATAGACAAGTGTGTGTGTGAAAACTCTGAGTTGAGCAAGAATGTGGCTAGGTTGTGGAATTCTGCCATATGCCTGCTTTGGTGACTAATCTGAACACAGACATCTCTTTTGGAGTTTCTCCTATAGGTAGCTTGTTTACCAGTTGCTATAGGTGAAATTGAAGCTTTGAATCAGTCTATTTCAAATCTTCAAGCCTCCATTTTCTTATTTATAAAATTATAAGAATTTTAAAATTCTAATTGGCAAAGGTTAAAGGAGATCATTAAAATAAGTCACTCAGCATAAGTCATTTATCTGGCAAAAAATATTACCTTATAAGCAGCAGCCACTGCTTCAAGGAATAATCATAATAACCACCACCAGAGTGTGCAGTGCATTTGGCAATCCCTGGGCTGCATTTTGAACTCTGAGTCTATGAGACATTGGAAATCACAAAATTTGGTTATTGTTTCTTCTAATCTCAGGTGACCATGCAGCATATGAAGAGCAAGAAGACCCTAGATTTTGCAGCAAATGTGTGGTTATCTCGAATCCAAGCCGATGGGGATGTTGTCTGTGAGCTTCCTGCCATGAAAGGAGGACAAGCTATGTTTCCATGTGTGTTATGATGTGCAGTAACATATCTTGCATATACCAATTGTTTTTACAGTTGCTTAAATTTATTTCTGAACTATTTAGTTACAGAATATTTTTTCCTATTTCCAAGAGAGTTGTTTTACCCATTGAGAAGTGACTTTTTCAGCATCACAGCATGAGTCCCTGGTGGATCTGGGAAAAACGTAATCTCAAAAAGGTTCTTACTGTCCAGCTACAGTCTCAGGGGCTGAGGCGATGACAAAGAAAAATGTCACATCTGTGTTTCCTCTGGCTTTGCCTAGGCCAGTGGCCACCTAATGTCATTACCTCACTAATTATCTATTTCCTCATCAAAACCTACATAATTTTAAACTTTAAGCATCGTGCACAATAACATTGTCACCTTTGCTGTTAAAATACTAAGCATGAAATCTTTTCCTATGCCATGCATAAAAAACAATGAAAGCCTTTTAAAAATCTTTTATTTCTCTTTCTTAAAAAGCTATAAGCCTCCTGGGCAATTGTTCATGATGTGAAAGTGCCCATTTAAAATTAATAATTGAAAGATAAAAAAATCTCTCAGATATAGAAAGTCCAGATTAAGGGAATTCTCATGTGATTTTTTTGTTCGTTTGTTTTTACTATAGCCTAGCCCATGGGTCTGGGTCCTGCTTGCATGGACTCCCATGTGATGGATTTCCTCTTGTTTCTCTCCCCTTTGCTTTGCCAGTAGTGAGGTACCATGTTGACATCCATACTGGGCTACTGAAGAGAGCAGAAACAGAGTCGAAAGTTTCCCTGTGTCTCTATGGGGAGAGGGGAGACTCTGGCCTTAGACTGCTGTGCAGCTCCAAGATGCCAGTCACATTTCAAAGAGGACAGGTGAGTCTACGCAAATAACTCCCCCTGTTCTTCGCAGTCTCTCTGAAGGTGCCTGTACATGATTGAAAGTGAAAGGTGCTCACAATGCTTCAAGTTTCCATTTTAGGACGTCTTTAGCAAAGTTTCCTGGCCCAGCTTCCTAATGTGCTTTATTTTAGAAGTTGTTCTCACAAGAAAAATGGGACACCCTATACTAGGGTTGAATAACAGAACAAAGATAAAAACACTCAAAATTAGTAATAGTCTTAGAATAAGAAAAAGATAAGTTGAGATGATATCAGAGAAAAATATACATGAACATGCTCTGTTGAGACTGAAAGTTACAAAGTTTGTGCTAAACAGTGAGGTTATAGAAAAGCCATTATAGTACATTTCACATAATAACACAATAGCCTTTCTTTAAACATCTTGCCTGGTGCCAACTATATCATTTTCACACATTAAAGTCCTTTATTATTTATTTTGTCAAATATGAGAATCTTTCTGTGTATTAGGTGTCTGAGGAGTTGTGCTGAGATACATAATCAATCCAGTTAGATTTTTTTATCCTCACCTGAGGATATAGGTTTTTTAAAATTGATTTTAGATAAAGGAATAGAGAGAGAGTGTGATAAAAATGTCAATGTAAGAAAGAAACATTGACAGATTGCCTCCTGGACACCCCGAACGGGAATTGAACACACAACCTAGGTATGCGCCCTAACCAGGAATTGAACCCCTAACCTTTTGGTGTAAGGGTCCATGATCCAACCAATTGAGCCACCCAGCCAGGCAATCCAGTTACTATATATATAGAAATACAGAGCTATTTAGGGGGTTTGAAATAAAGAGTAGAGATTATGTAACCCAAGGGTATATTTTTAAAAATAAAGGTTCCTAAACCAGTTTGAGAATGCTGTTTCTCATACTTTTTTTGTAGTTATAGTTCATAAGATATTTTGAAACATCAGAGGTGTTAAAGCTCACCTGAGTTTTTATTTATCATGGCACATTATACAGAAAGTTTCATCAGAATGAAGAGGAAAACTAGAACTAGTATGGATGAGGGGAAACACAAAATTATGCCTAATTTTTGCTGTGAAACTGAGTTATAAATTTTGAGCAAAAACACAATTTTGTATACCATGATATTATTGTTATTATTACTCCAAGAGATTAGTGAGGTTATCTACTGGAGAATCTTCCCAGCTTTCCATCAGTCCCAGATGCTCACCCTACCCCTTCGTGATCAATTGTGAAGCTTCAGTACCTGCTAGTTGGTCGCCAGCATGCAGTGTTGTGTGAAGTTACATGCTCAGATTTGACAGCTCATCATTTTCCACAGAGTGGAGAAGATGTATTATAGGTTGAAATTAAAGTTGCAATCAGTACATAAATAAGTGGCATGATTTTAAAATTTAAAACTAGAGGTAGAAAAGTGTTTTCTTCCCTGATTCATTATGGATCTCACATTTTTCTGTTATTTTCCTCACTGCTTAGAATGTAATGGAATTGCTCAATGATTGCAAGAATTTTGCATTCGAGAAACTGTGGCAACAATCTTTTGGTTTATCCCCAGAGTAATTTCACACCAGCCACAACTCGCATCGTTAGCCACTGATTGGGCTGGTTGTTGTCATTTTTTCTACAAAGTGTCCAGCGATGTAATCAAAAGGCAGCAACATACATAATAGACCGAGTTTAATTTTATCTTCAAAAGTTAAGTTACTTTAAGAGACAAGAAGAAACCAGAAAGCTGATTCAGGAAATCTTTCTGCACCTTGAGATATTTGCTGTAAGGCAGGCCATAAGACAAAGACTGGGGTACAGGTAATTTATCTCGGAGGTGATCCCAGTGAGCACCTTTGAGGCGAAGAGTGGGGAAAGTGAGGCAGGAAATGGGGAAAAGCCAATCTAGGGACATTAATGAGTTAATTACTACTGGAACGTTTTCTTGTTAGGTACCTTTAGAGAAACTGCAGGACATCCCTCAAAATTGTCCCACCATGGGAAGTCCTCAGGCAAAGAAGCAGTGAGGTGTAGGGACTGAGAAAGAAAGCTGCCAGCACGCCTAAGCCAGCTAGCAAAGCAGCCGATGACCCCAGAAATGGACTCAGATGGCAGGGGGTATCAATTATATCTGCTACAGCAGGTGATGCATATCAAGAAATGTCCCTTTAAAGGCATCCCAGAGAACATGCACAATCATTATTTGATTTAAAGAAATGTCATGGGACTAGTAATGGTTTCTGTTTGGTCTAAACAAGAGATTTCCATAAAAATATGTGAACCCAACAGTCGATATACCCAATAATATATCATGAATACCAAATTGAAATTTAACCTGGTGGCAATGTAAGCAAAATAAGCAGCCCTGAATCAGCATTCCTACCACAAAGGAGAAAAAAAGTGGCTAATAGTCAGATGGCATGTCTGGGAATGTCTCAGACATAATCAAATCCATGACCCTTTTCTCAGATAATTTTAGGGGGGTTATTCCCAGCAACAATCTATGAGGAAGTAATGTGTGAAGGAGTTATTTTTATTTTAATCAATGTAGCATTTACTTTAGGTCCCACATCTCTGGAAATTCAGTAACTTTTGACATGATAAAGCAACCCTATTTAGAAATGGAGACGCCAGGATGCTCTTTCACGACAAACCCAACAATGTGCTCTATCTGATTTATGGAGAGAGGTACAGGAGAGAAATTCTAGAGAATGGAAGGAAGAAGGGGAGGTGGGGAGAGAGGAGAAATGTGTGCCTCCATGCCTCAAAGTAGATCAGCATTCATGAAAACGAAATGTGCTACATATGGGTCCATGTGCTGCAAACTGACCACCTAATAAACTGCATACAGGGGCAGAAATCCAAGCCAGAGAAAAGCCACGGACTGGAAGCCTTTGTATTAGGGCTTATTTATTTGTTACACTGGATACTACCGCAAATGGAGAAAATAAAACTGCAAGAGAGAAAGAAGCACAGCCAGAAATAGATTTCTAATAGATAAAAAAGTAATTTGCTTATTTTTCTTTCCTTATTACCCCTTTTGATGCTGGCTGTAGTAACATTATCTCCTTTAAAGTATTATGCCGCCTCTGGCCGTCCTTGGGCTATTATTATTACCTGCATTTGTCATGTGCTGGACTCAAGTTATTTCTGTGGGGTTTTCCTCTGTCTCCTGCACCAGACTGACACGTTTCAAATAGAAGCAGTGTCACTTGGCAAGCTGCAGAAGGTGCTGTTGCGCTGTGAGGCCAGCGACAAATCTCAGTACTGGTATTGTGAGAAGGTCATCATCAGAGAACCTGGCATCACATCCCAGCGCATCTTCACCTGTGAAAGGTAGTGCTGGTCTCCACGGTACTTTAAGAGAGTGTGCTGCAATGCGGACAATCCTGTGTGTGTGAGTGTATGTGTGTGTTTTAGGTGCATGGATTTGTGTCATTGACTCAGTATTCCACGGCATGCATCACTCATTGTTGTTTAAGTAAATAATCTATTGGTAAGTATTGCAAGTAAAAATTATCTTGCACCCTAGCTGGTTTGGCTCAGTGGATAGAGCGTCGGTCTGTAGACCGAAGGGTTCATTTCTGGTCAAGTGCACATGCCCAGATTGCAGGCTGGATCCCCAGTAGGGGTCATGTAGGAGGCAGCCAATCAATGGTTCTCTCTCATCATTGATGTTTCTATCTCTCTCCCTCTCTCTTCTTTTCTGAAATCACTGGCTCTATGCCCCGGGGGTGGGAGGAGAGGCATGGAGGGTGGACAGATAGACTCCAGCCAAAGATGGACACGGGAGCCAGGGATGCAGGGCCAGTCGAGGTCCTGGCTGGAGAGGAGGGGGCTCTGAGCAGACGTGGGGGACACGGCCCCAAGTCAGGCTGAGGGGGGAGGGGACTTGCAGCAGAGATTGGCGAGGGATGGCGGGACACCGGACAGATAGATATGGGGGAAGGGGCAGTCGGACAGAAATAAGAGGGGAAGCATGGTCGGCTACCGATGCGGGGCAGATGGGGACAGGAAGGGCTCCGGGCAGAGATGAAATGGAGGGGAGGAGCAGGGTCCGGCGTCCAGGCGAGGAGGGGGGATTAAAGGGAGTGACATAATCGAGCTGTAGGTTGGACGGGGGGTTCTAATGAGGGTGGGGGCGCACCGCCCGGATCCACGCTGAGATAGGGAGAGACTGGAGACAGCGATGGGGTAAGGTCTGGGTCAGGAATGGGGGGGGGGATTTAGGAAAGATGGGTAAGGGGGAGGGGACGGGAAAGGGACTCGGCAGAGATCGAGGGGACCTCGGCCCAGGCTTGTAAGTTCTCAAAGAGAGGGGAGTGGGTAGGTCGGTGCCGAGTGAAGTCAGTTCGGGCAGGGGAGAAAGCAGCAGAGATGGGTAGGGGAGCGCCCCGAGTCCGGGCTAGTGCGGAAACTCCGGACCCCGCGGGGAGGGCTCGGGGAGGGGCCGCAGCAGGGGCTGGGG